TGGTCAGAAATCGAAGTGGCCAATCCAAATAATCTGCATACCATTAGATGTAGCACAAAAAGCTGACTTCGAATCTGTATTTCATAACTGCTTAGCGAATATGTGTTCGAAGTTATGAGCCATTAAAGGTCGTTTTTTGGCTAAGAAATAGTCCATGCAGCGCAAGTTTGGCGGTACAATGCCATGTTTAGTGCTGGGCCAAAACATGCAGCTAAGTTAACTTTATAATTCTAAAGTTTTAGGGTGAGGTGAATGTGAAACAATACGATTAATCTCGCAAATTTTATATACGAATTTCTCGCAATAAAACTGCCCATAACTTCGTTCACAAAGGCGCGAAGCAGATAAGTAATGCAGACTCGTAATCAGCGTTGAATGCTGCATCGAATGGTATGCAGCTTGCTTGGATTGGCTACTTCGACTTCTGACCATTCCCTTGTAAGATTGACATCAATCCATTCTTATGGAGCATATACCGTTTTCGGCTGTGTTCTATCGCGTGGTACCAACGGCTTTTTGTGTTTCTCCCAAAAAGTCCGAAAACTTACAAAATTTTGGGTGTTTGTATAATTATGAACCGCACTTTACCGCTGTTTAGAGAGCTCGGAGTACTTTATAATGCCTGTAGCTGCCGCTAGCCGCTTTGCTCACTATCCTAATATTCCAAGGGCTTTAAAATGTGAAAAGATTATGCTGTTTTGATTAGCATGTCGAACATCTCCAATAAACCAAGTTGAGCAGGATTTATGGTGTCAATTGGGGCTCGGATACTGAAATAGTGCGCAAAAGCAGCCGACGACGGCTGCCGGCGCTGTATGAAGGCATCCTTACAGTGTTCTCTCCATTGGTATTTTTCTGAGACCGCCACAATGCATCCTTGCCCTTGTAAGTTTACCGAGGGTCTTCTCGCTCGCTTCTTCCTTCTTCGCTAAGGATATTCACATGCGAACCGTGGAAAATAAGGCAGACCAAAAATGTAACAAACCACGTAACATCCCTATCCATCATTAAGAAAAGAATGGGACTTGCCGGGTGCGTATTTCTGAATCAGAGCTATCCAGAAAAATGTCGGCAAAGGAGCAACACGATTCTGACATGTTTATTTACATTATTTATTTATTTTCATACAAAAAAGTCACAGTAACTTATAAATTGTTGATGTCAGGAATTTTGTTAGATTTTTGGGCGAGCTTGCGACAATCTAATACTTTCTCAAACCTAATTCAGGATTACAAAGTTTTAAAATGCTGTATTCGGAAGGTTGTTTTTCAAAGCTAGCGAACGTCAATCGATACAAAAAGTAGCCTATGACAACCGCCCGGCCCCGAAGTGTATGTGTGCCAAGTTTGGTCCCGATCGGTTCAGAAATGGAGTTTTCTATTCGGAACATACGTATACGTACACCCAGACAGGCAAACATACGGACAGACATACAAACAGATATTCAGCTTTATATATAAGATAGGTGATAGCTTTTCTTACTTTCTGAATACACAAGTCGTGAGATTACTTAATTCATTCTTTGATTTACACACAAGGTGCACTTAAAGCAACATCCACAAAAAGTAACATACGACTTTTCAGGTTTCATTGCTTCAAAGTAGTCCTTCCACGGCCGCTGAAAAAAACTGGAAGATGCGTGTCTAGGGCACAGGCTTTGAAACTTTAGAATTAGTGAAACTGGAATTATTGATGGCACAAGTGCGTCACCTCTGCTTCGCAGAGGCTTGCACTGGTCCTACTCTATTTACTCATTCTCGCCTAATGATGACTTCGAAACTCACTGCGCAATGCCGACTGTCACGAATAAAATGTAAACAACTACTCATTCCAAAAGCTTTTTCATGAGAGATCGGTGATTTCGCGTGGATGGAACTTTTCGCAGAAGAACAAATGGAAATTTGAATAGCTTTTTGAACTTCTTTTAGTTTGTTGGTCGCCATAAGGACACTAACTGCCGTAATTGCCTATATCTCTATGCAAAAATCTTTTCAAATGCTCAGGTAGAACCACGGCGGATTGACCATTTAAGCAAACATTTCTTTTTGGCGTCGTTTTCGTAAAGTAGTAGACCTTTGGTCACCTTTTGATCTAAGGTCTACGGCTTCACATTAATATACCGAATACATCGACGACTTTGCATAAACCTTGATACGGACCCAATTTTGCGTGTTAGAAGCCAAGTGGATCCGTCTGACACGCAATTTCTGAGGGACCCACCCAACGAATCCGCTCGCGCTTTTGCATGGTAGAGTTCTACGCCGGCAGCATGCCCTATGCAAAATTTGGGCTCAGGACGTTGACTGGAACTCGCTCTTTGAATTTCGTTACAGACAGACACACAGACATACACACACACCAGGGCTTAGTACTCTGCGTTGATACCACTGCTTGATATCATTTTTAGGGCGGAAAGCAAAGGGGATATCGTTTCTACAGGGACCGAGGCGAAGAACTGCCGCAAAAATGCCGCCGGTATGCCACCGGCATGCCATTGGCAAGCTGTCCATCAACAAACAAAGGCGTTGTTTTCAGCCAAAACGCAATAGTATGACACCAAATTTGGTGTGTGCATGCGCGTTGGTGGACCGGAACTACGGACCAAAAATTTATGAAAACTTATGTGAATGAAAGCCGTGCCGAACTTTTTTCTGAATTAGCTGGCACCGTGCCAGCTGGGTGCCAGCTGAGCTGGCACCGACACTTTGCCCACATAAGTTTTCATACTTTTTTAAATAAAATGTATCTACACTGTAAAAGATTACATACGGAAAGAAACAGTTTTATAATGTTCTCTTTTCAGCGTTTTATAGCAATTTGAAAACCACTCGGTCCGCTCCGCAGTCGAAAAATCGGTTTTTTCTGCTTCTCAAGATGTGATTCGACCACTTAAAAAGCTCAGAAAGCTGTGAAAAGTTCTTTCATGAAATCAGAAATGCATGAAAACACTACTACATTTTTTTACATGATATAAAATTGATGACGGGTTTTCAAAACAGGTCAAAAGGGACTTCGTACGAAATTTTCAATATCAAACGGGACTTCGTTTTGAAATTTCCCTGGTGCCAGCTCGTGCCGAGCCCTGACACACACGCACACACAACTCACGTAAACACCCTTAGCCCATTATTATAAGTAACCAGTGCGTCACCTCTGCTTCGCAGAGGCTCGCACTGGCTCTACTATCTATCGTCTGCGCCCCAGAGAGGTTCCCATAGGTGCCACGTCATCTTGCTGCCTTTCGCACTTTTGAACATGTAAACCTCCGGCACTTCCGTTGAAATCTTAGGAGAAACGTGTCAAAAAGAGCGAAAGGCAGCGTCGCACCACGTACGCACGCTGGTTCACATGGGAACCTCTCTGGGGTGCAGACGGTATGTGCCTTACTCATTCTCGTAAAATCGTGGCGCTGGAACTCACCGCGCTATGCCGACTACCACGATTAAATTGTAAACAACCACTCATTTAGAAAGTTTTTTCACGTGAGATCGGTGATTTTGCGTGGATGAAACTTTTCGCAAGAAGACAAACGCAAATTTGAATAGGTTTTTGGATTTTTCATGGCTTGATAGTCGCCATAGAGGTAATAGTAGTCGTGAGCTACATCTCTGTGCGGAAATCTTCTCAAGCGCTTAGCTAGAACCTTGGCAAAATGACCATTTACACAACCAATTCTTTTTGGAGCTTTTTTCGTTATGCAGTAAACTTTCGACCACTTTTCGGGCTAAACTCCATCGCTTGCACAGTTGCCTATCAAACTCATCCACGACTCTGCAAAAAGTGGTGATACGGACCGAATTTTGCGGTATAGAAGAAAGGTGGAGCCGTTTGGCGCGCAATTTCTGAGGGATCTACTCAACGAATTTACTCGTGCTTTTGCATGTTGGACTTTCATGAAGGTAGCATGCGCTATACAAAATTTGGGCTTAGAACGCTGGCTGGGACACGCTCCACGAATTTCGTAACAGACACACTCACACACAGACACCCGAAGTCACGGAAACATCCTTAGCCCGTTATTATAGGTTACCAGTGCGTCACCTCTGCTTCGCAGAGGCTCGCACTGGCTCTGCTATCTAGGCCCTACTCATTCTAGTATAATGATGGCATTGGAACTCACCGAGCAATGCCGACTATCACGAACAAAATGTAAACAACTACTCATTCAAAAAGCTTTTTTATGGGAAATCGGTGATTTCGCGTGGATGAGACTTTCTGCAGGAAAACAAATGCAAATTTCTATAGGTTTTTGATTTTCTCATGGCCTTTACAGTTGCAGTAAGAACAGCAGTCACCGTGAGCCACAACTTTGTGCAAAAGTTTCGTCAAATGGTCTGGTAAAATCTTGGCAAATTGACCATTTACGCAACCAATACTTTTTGGCGCCATTTTTGTAAAGTAATGGACATTTGATCAATTTTTTGAGCCTAAGTTCATGGCTTGCACATTTACTTGGCACAAACATCCACGACTCTAAAAAGTGGAATTACGGACCCAACTTTGCGGCCCAAATGCAAAGGGGATCCGTTTGACATGCAGCTCCTGAGGGTTACACTCAACGGATCTGCTCGTGCTTTTGCATGTTGGACTTTCATGCGGGTAGCATGCGCTGTGCAAAATTTGAGCACAGGAGGTTGGCTGGAACACGCTCTACGAATTTCGTAACAGGCACACTCTCAGACACACACATACACAAAGTCACGTAAACATCCTTAGCCCGTTATTATAAGTAATGATGGTAGTTGTCATTAATACCATAACCAAATCTTTTATTCATTAACAACAGATGGTAACGTTTGAGTGCAAGGGTGCCCGTTGTGGCATGTTCCAGTACTCAGTACATTGGAGCAACCACTCAATCAAAAGTGCTTTCATCTTGCGCGCTTATGAACTTTAGTCATTTGTATGATGCTACCCTTTGAATGTGCTTTTTTCGCATTATCTGCCCAATGTTAACATGCGAGAAGTGAAAGATTGATGAACCATTGTACTTTTGTAGAGCTACAGAACGGTCATGCTGAAGCTATTTATTTTGGCATTCCTCTACGCTGGAGTGAGCAGTTCGTCAACACAGAAAAAAACATTTACGAAGTACTTAAGTGGGGTAAGTCTAACAAACACTGGTCCAGAGTTATCCTTGTGCGGGCAAAAACACACAGGAACTTGATGGCACGTTTTCAAATAGTGCGAAAGTATCACAGCAAACCTCGGTGCATTCTACCGTGCCTCACTTTGATTTCAGGCAGCGGATAATCGCGAACAAGAGAAAGAGAGTTTTTTGCCATAGTGGACCTGCAGTCAGATTTATTAAGTGGCAGTAATGGTCAGAGATTTTTCTGTGGGCGCTCAAAAAGTTCCAAGTGAAAGGATGTGGCTTGAGCCACTTCCTCCGAAGATTTCTTTGGGATGCTTTTGCACTTTTGCACCCTGTAACTTTGAAATGTTGAAGAAAGGCGGCATTCTGGCAACCTCGTTCTGAAAAACTTTCTCACAAAGCTATTTTGAATTTCTGAAGTGTATGAAAGGATAAGACATCTACAAGCAAGGACAATCATTTGCACAATTTTAGATTTCATGTAAGCTACTGAAAAATTCCAAGACGCTTGCAAGCTTGTAAGATATCAGCGCTTCACCTCTGCCTCTCACATGCTCACACTGGTTTCACAATCTGTATGCCCTACTCATTCTCGCCTATAATGGCATTAAAACTCACCGCGCAATGCCGACTATTACGAATGAAGTGTAAACAACCACTCATTTCGAAAATTATTCATATGAAGTCGGTGATTTCGCGTTGATAAAACTTTTTGCAGAGGAACAAACGCAAATTTGAATAGGTTTTTGATTTTCCCATGGTTTCGGTAGTCGCCATAGGAACAGTAATCACCGTGAGTTACATTCTTATGCAAAATCTCGTCTAATGCTTTGGTAAAACCTTGGCAAATTGATCATTTACCAATTCTTTTCCGCGCCGTTTTTGAAAAGTAGTGGACTTTCGATTACTTTTTTGGGCCTACGTCCATGGCAACGTAAAACGTGGAATTACGGACCCAATTTCGTAGGGTTAAAAGCGAAGTGGATCCGTCTGATGCGCTTGAGTGTTGCTATGCAAAATTTGAGCTCAGGACGTTAGCTGGAACACGCTTCACGATTTTCAGACACAGACACAGAACGAGACACAAGACACAGACACTGTAACACATTCTAATGCAACACCACACTAAGTCATGCAAACATCCTCAGCCCTTCCTTTTAAGTAATGATTGGAGTCTATTCAAGCATTTTTTGTTGGGTTGTGTCGGAGTTCTATGCTGCAACCATTCCACCAAGAGAAGCTCTCTTGAACATATTAGTCGCTCACCTCTTACTTATACAGCTTTCCAGAATGTCGAAGACGATGTAGAATATGAAGAAGCTTTTCAAATTGAGTTTTCTGAGCAAATGTATGATCATTGCTCGGATTCGTTTACAATTCACAGTGAAGCAGCTTACATAAAAGATCCGCCGAAAGATAAGGTACTCGTCGATTTTCGAAAAATTTTATCAGCCAGTTATTGCAGAAAACTTTCTGCTCTTTAACGAAAACCACTTTACTATGCAGAAGAAGAAACTTTTTATTGAAAGATGCAGACTGGATTCGAGTAAGCGGCTTTTATCCCCTTACCTCCCATGAAGACTGCAAGTTGTAGAAAACATTAGAAGATTTCGAAAAAAGTGCTGGATTAAAATGGAACGAATTGAAGTAAGTTTTTTTTACGATTTTAAAGAGTGGAGAAGGAAGCACGTAAGAAAATGTGAGGCAAAGACTTTGAATATGCAAATCTTGTTTTTTACCACCTTAAAATAGCCATCTTCAACCTGCAATGGTATCTCTACTATGTTAACATCATTAAAACAGAGCTAGCTGCCAAAGTCCCTACCATTTTTGGTCTGATGTTGTTGTGTTTGATGTTGTTGCATGTGTTTGATAGCAAATGCTCCAAAATGGAAAAATCTGTGACAGGGTTTCCATTCATACTAATCCACTGGACAGTTTCTTACGAGCTGAGTTTTGAATTTTACTATTGTGTAATCGCGCTGTTACGGTATACCCAAAAAATTCATAAAAGAAGCATTATGATAAAGTGTGAATTCCATATTAGAAATTAGCAACACTGATCAGCCTGGAAGAGTAATTGACTTGTTTCACTTTCGTTTCTGGGCGTTATGTGGATCTTAATAGCTTGAAACCCTTTTCAGAATTCACCGCATTCTTGCAGTGTCGGCGAGTCACGCTGTAAATTTGAATTCCTGCTTCGCGTAATGGTACATAAAGATTAGATAAAAACATTGAAGCTAGAGAGATCATCTTGTATCAAGGTGGTCAGAAAACACTGAGGTACTTGGGTGACATGTTTTTCAAAAATCATGATAAAGGGAAAAGGATAAGGGCAACTGTTCCATGCTCCAAGCACGTTCTGCTTCATAGTCGGAAACAATTAAAGCCTGCGAGCCTTTACAAAGGCTTGCGAGGGCTAACCTATTAAAAGTCAGCACTTTTCTTTCAGATTACTCTGGTATTAAATTGCCATCCTCGAATGTAGAAATGGCTTGGTTGATCCACGAGCGGGATCGAATTCTTGTCCGATTTGGACATGCCCGCCAACACCACTCGCATCCGCAAATGATGTTCGGTCGCTCGAATTTTTTCAGACGTTAGAACATGCTGAGACCGAACTCATATTTTCCACTTGAAATCTATACAATGCCGTTGACGCGTGTTGTTGAAGTTTTCATAATGGTTGGAACGCGAAACCAGTGCTTCAAGCTGTCAGACCTGCTCAATAATGCCTGCCTTTTCATTAGCAGCGCTTGAATGGCTGGAGGGGAGTAGAAGAGTACTGCCAATATGATAGTTGAAAGTCACTTATACGAAAGCATAGCGTTGCCTAAAGGGGTTGCATATCCCGACAAGACCTTGTGAGTCCATTGATACCAATCATCTTGCGTTTCGGTTGTGATGATTGGCGCGCTCAATCGTGTCGAAAATTATAACAACCGAAATGCAATAAGAGTGACATGCAATAGCGTAACAATTGTCTTGACGATGGAGTCGCGAGAAATCGCGTGATGTATGCCCTCTCCTTGATAGTCAATGAGGGCCGCACGCATTACATCGCCGCCGAGGAGGGTATCGCAGTAAAAAAGCCCCTTGTTCTAAAACTTCAGATATGATTTTACCTGTGTGCATCCATAAGTATTTTCAACACCCTTTACAAACGTATCGAAATTGGGCTCAAAATCGCGCTTTTTAGTTTTTGTATTTTTTTTTATCCTCGCATGTGTCCCGCTTAAGCAGGGTCTGCTTTCCTTGTCAGATGTCTCCATGTCATCCTATCTGAGGCAAGGTCTTCGTTTATACCAAGTTCTCGCAGGTCGGCCTTGATTCTGTCCATCCACCTCATCTTGGGTCTACCTCTGGGCCTTTTGCCTGGTGCCTCCACAGCCGGTCAACTTGGTGATGTGGCTTTCATCCCTTCTGCGCACATGCCCATACCATCGTAACCTCTTTTCCTGCATTTTCTGGGCAATTGGAGCTACTTTCATTCGCGCTCGTATGGTGTCATTGCAGATGTGATCCTTTAGTGTGACTCCTAAGGTCCATCGTAGCATCCTTGTTTCCATGACACTGAGCTTGCGCTCCTCGTTCCGCGTACACGGCCAGCACTCACTGCCATACAGTGCTGCTGGGCGGATAACGGTCCGGTACAGTTGGGACTTGAGTTGCACTGGCATTCGTCTGTCGCACAGAACTCCTGTTAAGGCTCTCCATTTCATCCAAGCTGTGTTCATTCTGCCTGCGACCTCCTCTTATAAGCCTCCCTCCGCTAAGATGTGACTGCCTAGGTATCTGTATGACGTTGTCTTCTTTAGCTCTTCACCATCGATGCTTATGGTACCTGGAGTTTGTTTCCCCACTTCCATGTATTCTGTCTTCCTGGTGTTGAGCTTCAAGCCATACAACTCTAGCCTGTTTTTCCACTTTTGCACCTCGTCTTGTAGCTCCTTTCTGGTACATGCTATCAAGACCATATCATCTGCGTAGAGAAGGTCCAAGGGTGTTCACGTCTGAGCGGTTCCATCACGGCGTTCATCACCGTGATGAAGAGCAAGGGAGAGAGAACTGAACCTTGGTGTACTCCAATCTTGATCTGGAATTCTTTCGATTGCCCTGCAGCTGTTTGCACGTGGCTTGATGCGTTGTGGTAGATCAACTTTATCCATTGAACGTACTCCTCTGGCACCTTGTGTTTCCGTAAGGCCCACCATATGACTTCATGTGGCACCTTATCGAAGGCTTTCTCCAGGTCCAGGAAGGCTACATGCAATTCCTTCTGCTTCTCCCTGTATCTCTCCATCACTATCCGAGCGGAGTGGATTGCATCAGTTGTACTTACTCCTTTCACGAATTCGCACTGATTCGGTGACAACTCTACGATATTTCGAAGGCGTGTTTCGATTATTCGCTCGAAGATTTTTAGAGTGTGGCTCATCAGTCGGAGTGGCCGGTAGGATGCGCAGTCTGCTATGTCTCCTTTGTTCTTACATATCGGGATGGTCGTGCTGGTGTACCAGTCGCGAGGCATACTCTTGCTCCTTATGATTTGATTGAGGAGACTTGTTAGCCATGTGGCTCCGGATTGTCCACATAATTTCCAGAACTCGCTTGGTATGTCGTCTGGACCAGTCGCTTTGCCATTCTTTGTTCTTCTTATGGCCAGCCATACTTCCTCTTCTGTGACCGCTGGTACTGGTCCCTCTATGGGGCTGGCTTCTGGGATGGAGTTGATGGTGCGGCCTGTGGTGGCCATCTCTTCGAAGTAGGTTCTCCATCTCTCGGTGATGTCCTCTGGTTTTCTTAGCACTCTACCAAGTTTGTCTTTGATATGGAGGAAGTGTTCCATATCTTTTGTGGATTCCGCTCTTCTTTTTGCTATCCGGTATATCTCACGTTCTCCCTCGCGAGACTCTAGGTGGTCGTAGAGCTCTTTCAAGTACACCTGTTTTGCATTCTTTACGGAAGCCTTCGCAGCGTGCTTGGCTTGTTGGTACTTCTGACGATCGTCCTCCAATCTCGTCTTATGCCATCGCTTGTACGCATTCCTCTTCTCCTTTATGACTTTTTGCACTTCGTCATTCCACCACCACGTTTCTCGATTGATCCTTCTTTTTCCTGGCTTCGTACTTCCCAGGATCATGTGTGCCACTTCGTGGACTCGATCTTTCAAGCTTTTCCAGGATTGATCTGGGTTATCTTGCAAGCGTGGTAGAGTTGTTTGCAGCGTTTGGTTCGCCGCGTTGTTGTCTTTCAATCTCCACCATTCGATGCGTGTCCTGGTCTCTGTGGCTCTCCTGGTGTGCCTATTTTTTGGGATTCTAATGTCGAGAAGCAGTGGTCTGTGCTGAGGTATGCAGCTCTCACCTGGAATGACTTTGCAGTCCTTTACGTTTTTGAGGTCACGTTGCCGGATAGCCCAGAAGTCTATCTGTGTTCGTCGATCGCCACTCGCATATGTAATTAGGTGATCATCCTTCTTGATGTAGTATGTGTTCGCCAGGACCAGATCATGGGCTGAGGCGAATTCCAGAATACGCTCACTTTCTTCATTGCATGTTCCATATCCGTGGCCTCCGTGACATTTACTGGCTTCTCCTCGCCTTTCTCCCACATGTCCGTTGAGGTCCGCTCCTAGCAGGATTGTCTCTTCCAGCGGAATTGAACTGATGTGGTCATCCAGCTCCTGCCAGAACGCGTCCTTTTCATCATCCTTACATCCGACTTGTGGCGCATAGGCAGTGACCACTCGTAGGACATGTTTTCCGGTGTCTACCTTTATGCTCATCAGACGATCGCTTATGCGCTCAACGTCAACTATATTGTTCCTTAGAGTCTCCGAGACAGCTATCCCAACGCCGTTTCTGGTGCAGGTAGCACCGTTGTAAAGGAGCTTATATCCATTTCCGATGTCGCGTGACTTTGACCCGGTCCACTTCGTTTCCTGTATGCAGGCTACATCGACTCGCCGTTTCTTTAGAAGATCTGCTAACTCTCGCGAACGAGAGGTGAGTGTACCCATATTGATGGTAGCTAGACGAAGAGTCTGCGATGCCTTGGATCGTTGCCTCTGGAGAACTAGCCGCTTTAGCCGTCCCCGTTCACCTTGCTGGGACGGTAACTCTCGCCCACTATTCGCATTCGTCGGGCTCGAATGCGCGTCGCCTCCGGGGGCGCCCTAGCTTTTACTCGAAATACTTTATGAGACATGTCTGCATTGTAGATGCGACGGGGTGTTTCTCAGCCGGCTTGTCGCATGCCCTTCTTTGAAAGGGCAGCCTGACGCTGGAATTGTGAGCAGAATTTTGTCGCAGAAATTAGGCTCAGAGTGGAATCGAACCCGTGACCTTCAGCACGGCAATGTTACGTAGAGAACTAACCACTAGACTAACTCTGCTCTCTTTTTAGTTTTTGTATGGTCCCGTAGTAATTCCCAACTTTCTTTTCTTCAAGTCTTTTTCCTTTATTAAGTCGATGAATTATCCCAAGACTGTGTAGATTATCTAACCAAGCATTGCTAAACATATTTTCAACAGCCGGAGTATCGGAGTAATAAGAATCCACTTCATCAATTTTGCTATTGGATAGTTCATTCCAACCGATAGGGACCCGCCATTTTATTTCTGTGACTCCTGCGCACCTCGTAACAATGTATATTGCGAATAAAACAACAACAGTGCATACTGAAATTCGTAAAGCGCTCCGTGCCAGGGCTCGGCACGAGGTGGCTAGATGAAAATGCAAAAAACGAAGTTCCCCTTGACTTTTGGGTATTTTTACGAAGTCCCCTTTGACCCCCAAAATGCTCCAAAAAACGAAACGTCGACTAAAAAAAACGCCGCCAATTTTGCGTGTCTTCGACCACAAAAACGAAACCCCCTTTGCTTTTTGTCCCAAAAACGATATCCAGCTTGCTTGTAAGCCACCTGTGCCGAGCCCTGCTCCGTGCGGCACGTCGGAAGTTGAGGAATCACAAGAACTACAGCAGTTAAAGAGTCGCGAGAATTACCTCCTGGAATAGTATGGCCAGTCCCATAGCCAGGTGATTGAGTGGATCAAGTTGATTGAGTGTTGCGGAATTTTGGAGAACGCAACACGCCGAGAATAGGCTTTTTACCAGGCCTTCGAGTTTCAACGAGTGATACTATCACCGCCAAAGCAGAATTATCGCAGTACACAAACGTTATGACATTGATTGTGGCGGTAGCCATGACTATTCTATCGCTGAGAAGGAGAACCACAGGTGGGCGAGATCTTCCATCTGGGTCTAAGTTTCTCAATCCCGGCCATATAAGGTCTTCCACTTTCACATAAGACTGAAATCTCAAAATCCTGTTTCTCCCGGACACTTCTTGAGCTTTAAATTGACCGTTGTTGTATTGCTGTAGTTGTAAGGTTCTTTGAAAGCGAATGCACACCACCATCACGACTCCTATGATCTCATCGTCTGCTTTTTCGTGTACACAAAAAGTCCCAATTGAAGGTAGCGACGCTCAACTTCTGTGCAGACTATTTAGCTTCTGAATAGCAAAATATGTACCATCGGTTTCCAGATTCGTGTGAAGGGGGTTGCGGACTTCCCTGATTTTCAGGATAAACTTGTTTAACCTCCACGTTATAGCATTGTATTTCATACTCTGTCGTTGGACTTATCCTTAGAATAAAGGAAGTTCCATCCGCCTTCACACGAATCTGGGAGCCGATCATAAGTGTTATCATAGGGAAACCTTTTTATGCGCGATAATTATAGTGCTTTCATTAATCACACGTTCGCTTAAACGTTATTCTTAATTACCGATTATGCTTACCTTACTATATGCTTTAGGACTTGGGAGAGTTCTGATACATGTAGATATGTTCGTTCAATCAGATTACGTTGTTTGATTAGCAAAGTGGTCGAGATTAATGAGGCACTCTTCTTTTCTGTGCTCAAATGTCATATTTTCCATAACTCATTTCTTTATATCAGAAACACGCTTAGCATTTTTGAGTCAGTAATTAATCATTAATTTTCAAAGAAAAAAATAGTTTTAGAGGTACAGGAATGCTCTTCTTTTTAATGTGTTCAGGTAAAGAGTATATGCATTTTTATGAATGAATGAATGGCGTAAGATTCAAATATCTTCAAAACATGAAGGCTTTTATTGAGCTGCGGATTCCCATTCCGGGAACTCCAAAACATGAAGGCTTTTATTTGAGCCGCGGATTCCCATTCCGGGATGGCAATGCATGTGGGCGTAATAGAAAAACTTAAAATTTTCACATTTGGTGATGTTAGGCCCTGTCAAGCAAAAGCTTAAAAATAGGTTCTACGCGAGCGCGCCTTTGAGCTTTGCACTTGTGTCATTTAGGCTGGTGCAGTGTTTATTGAGCATGTTACCTGCTGTCTCTACGCCTCCATTACTTGAGGGTAAGTCCTTACTAAACGTAGATAATTATCTATGAGTAAGATAATGGCCCGTAGTAAACCGCTGTTCAGCTCAATTCGGCTGAAGCGAGTTTATGTTGAACATAGGACGCCTACTCAGACATTTTTGTCTAGCTCGCGTGGATCCGCCCACAAAGTGGAGTTCGCGAGAAATTGGGTATTGCTGCGGTAAACCCGCTTCTGTCGCGACTATCAGGTTAATCGCGATACTGAAAACAAGAAGTTTATAATTATACCACCCGTCGCGAATTCCGTTTTACATGCGATTCTATATGTGCGCAGAAATCAAGCGCAGCAAATCGCGCGATTTGAATTGCGCTCATTTTTTGGCGTCATCATGTATCAAATATATAACTACAAGGAAGGAACACAACCAGTGGAAATCCGTATTGGTGTTTTTGGAGAGCTTTTCGTCAATTTTATGCCGCTTGACGCTCGACAAATTTAAACTTTCAAGCGCTCATAATTTCTTTCGGAGAGTAATTCCGCCAAAAGGAAAGCAGAGAAGCAGCGTTCAAAGACGCGTCTAATAAAATAGATCTCGTATACAGTCTCCAATTTTGTTGGTAAGCTTTCCTTGTAAGCACCTTCATAGCACTTCCATTCAAAGTGCATCAGTGAATTGCATTTACTCTACAACCTTGCTCTTGTGCGTTTCGTTTCTTTACAGTCCATTGTGTGCAAATGATGCAAAAAGTTTTCAATAATAATCATTTTGAATACTAATAAGTAACACATCCAAAATCCAGAGAAAGCAGTGATAGGCACAAATCGCGCCGTAATTGATTATCACAACTGGGTCTCTTGCCCTGAAGTTCAGGTCTCGCGGTCTGCTTGAATGCGGAGGATAGGTTGTTGGGCAGCAATCTCCCGACCAAATGCCGGTGTTCGAAATTTCCCGTGACAAATTTGATTGAGTCCCGCAGTCATTCTGTCGTTACGTAAGTTCCTTATGCGCGAGAGTTAGCTACGAATGTTTCAGTCAGTCCAACATCCGTGAGTTATCGATGTGGATGCGGATTGCCTTTTGAACATGATAAGTTCTCAAGCAATCGCTTGAGCAGATTTGATCGAATGGCTAAGTGATTGTAATCAATGCGCAAGCGTGGCTCGAGATCCGTTAATACACAGATTTCTGCTGCACTGGAATCTTTGACAGCGGGAGTTTTTGATAAAAGCATCAACTGTAAGAAAGGCATAAAAGAAGTTTTTTTTGCTAATTCCTCGCCGCCATCATCTGTTCATCAAAACCCTCCAATTTAGGCCCCCAAAACTGCAGTTTTGTCCCCAGTGCTAGGAAAACCGATGTATCGTATACTCAAGAGCAACTTACAAAAATCTTTTCTGTGTCTTATCTTTTTCACACCATTTGCACGAATTTGCGTCTCAACTTAACGCGAACTGATGGGAGTGGATCAGTTGAAGGCGGCAGGTGGACGGATAGCCAAGTGTCAGTTCATTTTGCATGCTTACTGCATGGGAAGGTGGGCGGGCATCATTTCATCTGACAAAAAGTCCAGAGGCTTTAGTTCAGATTCACCAACTGCTCGAGTTTTACTACGGGCCAGTGATATTCAGTTGAGATATTTATCAGATGTGTACATGTGTACTAACTTCATGCATTTTTCCTCTAAAAAATTCCTTATCACTTGTGGTACTCGTTAAATATCACATATACTCTGAAAAGCTCGTGATTAGGGCCTGTCGAACTCACAAATTTAAAAAACGAAAGGGCAAAACTTCGAAGAGCTTCCCTTTTATTTGCCTTCTTCTTTATTACTGACACATCACGCCAGAAGATACGTTCGCGCGCATATGTTGGGTATTCAAACTGGGAAGGAAGTTGGATAAAGGAGAAACGTGTGAAAGTACTACTCAGGGATTCGCGCCGTGCGGGCGGTCCTCCTTTAAGGGCTAGCGTACAAGCGGTCGGCATAAGTCTAAAGCTTCCGTGCGTGCGGCCAACAACTGAAACGCCGTCCTAGCGGCAGGCAATGTTACCGTGCAAACGGCATGCAATACAGTTGCTCTAGCGAGCGGCCGGCAATGCGTCCGTCTTATCGGTCGGCAATACCTGTTGCCGTGCAAGCGCCCGACAGTGACCTCTATTTTCTGCTCACTATTTTCACACATTGTAAGCGTAAACGTAGCGCCTGTGTGAGATACGACGCAGTGTTTAGGCTGGCTAAGCATTGAGATATCGTGTCATCAACATTTTCTTTCATCAGCAAGGCTGGATGGACCTGTGTGAGGCTAAAGTTATCAAGAGTGATGGAGTGGGCTTTCGCATGAAAAGTTTGGCCATTGCGGAAGCATCGATCCATGTTCCCGAAATGTGAAAGGGATTGATCTATCCAAGAAAAATGGTCAAGATATCCCATATACTTCTACTCCAACAGCAAGCGAGCGGCCGACCTTCCTCGCGCAAGCGGCGAGCATTAGAGACCATGCGGGCGCCCCACGTTGACCGTTCCAACGGCCCTTGACGACCGTACAACCGCACACACCAACGAGCGATTGTAAGGTCGTCGCTGGCCGCCCGCACGGCGCGAGTCCCTGAGTAGATTGCGCGATGTGGCCAAATTTTAGCCCGACATCATTTCCTTCACACATTTGAAAGTAAGTTCTGTTTTATGTCACCTTCCTGTCAGTTGATCTGTTGCTGACAAAGTTTTGTGGGATGTGATGTTTACCAAAGCATGTTTTCGAAAAGAATTTCCAGTCAGTTCGAGGAATAATCTTAGCTCATTCTTCATGCTGAAACTTTTCAGATAGAACTGTCGATTCAAAATCAAGCACTAACGCAGGTGCTGTGTATTACAAAGGGAAAAGAAAACCACTAATGAAAGAGGGAATCAAAAGATCGAAGATGAAGCGAACGACGAAGACAGCAAGGTCTAAGAAACCATTGAAAGCGAAAACTTCAGCAAGGCCACCAAAAGCAGTACTGCCTACACGTATCCACGATGTGTCGAACAGAGTAATAATACCACCGGCGAAAATGAAAATAAGGGCGCTGAAGAGAGTGACGACGTCTAGGAAAAAGCTAAGAAAAACCAAGAAAAAGAAAGTAATGAGGAAGGAAATTGGGAGGATGGAAGTTGGGCGGACGGAAAAGAAAGATTTAGCACGAAAAACAGAAGAGTTGTTAGCTAAAAGGAAAACATGGCCTAAGCAGATCGAATAAAGTATTAAACTGATCATTTTTGGCTGTCTGATGACCTTTGCTGCTGGGATGCTATGACGATCATTGACTGCAAACTCCAAAAACTTCCTGAATCCTGAAGATGACGTTCAATCTGTAGCCGTGCTCACCAACGAACCCTGAGGTGAAATAAATCTTGTTTGTAAATACGGGTTAAGCATTCAAGGTACGTTTACATAACTACTGTACGCCATGGCACCCAAGTGTGTGCGATGGCGCACTTTGGGAGCTATGGCCCCCAAACACATACCCTGAGTCATTAACCAGTATTCACGTATATACCTCAAGGCAAAATTTACCTTGTGGTGATGCCAGTGCAGTGGCTCAATTTCAAGGTAAATTTATGAAAATTGAGAGCGACTGTCAACCTTGCCATGTCACGGTAAAATTCTTGATACTTAAGATAAATTTCACTCTAGATATGTTTGTGAGTACGGGTTGATGGCACAAGGTATGTTTACATACTGATCGTGAGCCATTAGCTATACTGATAGAGCATATAGTTATACGCTCTTAATTTTTATTTTACCTCAGGGTTCGTTGATAGGTACGCCTTGTGGATTCGAAACCCAAGAAAAACTAAGTTTTTCTCACTGAACGTTTTTTGATTATACAGGGTGTCCCAAAAGTATGTATCGAACGTTTGATCGTTAATATCTCTCTTCCCAAGAAGTCTTTTGCCTTGCTTCAAGTACCATTTTGTAGAGCTGGCTTCAACTTAGATTTGCATTAAAGAACGAATCACCCATCTCTCTTCATTACTGTAGGATTACGGTAGAAACTTGAAACATATGGTGTCAATATGGAAAAAGCTGCCTTTTCAAAAATTTTCAAAATAATGTGAAAACATGTGTAATAGGGTTTTTATGGATGCTGAGTTCAATACTCAACTATTCACAAGATTACAAAGCTTTCTAAACGGTGTAATCGCACTTTTTAGGAACATTGAAAAAATGGCCGCTACCTCTTACCTGGCATAACTCCTCAATGAAGCATCATAATAAGTTGGGAACTTTACAGTTATAATCAGCAACTCTAATTAGCCTAGTGTGAAAACTTTCAGGCTGTTTTATTTCCTTTCTAAGGCAAAATATGGCCTTTCATTGCTTAAAACCCTCTTTGAAGTTTCTACCGTAATCCTACAGTAATGAAGAGGAATGAGTGATTCGTTCTATAATGCAAATCTAAGTTGAAGCTAGCTCTACAAAATGGTACTTGAAGCAAGGCAAAAGACTTCTTGGGAAGAGAGATATTAACGATCAAACGTTCGATACATACTTTTGGGACACCCTGTATATGACCGATTATGCCTTTACCACCAGTTAGTAAATTATGATATGCCCTTATTTTCAAAAGAAAATTGACTACGTGTCGTACATTTCGACCAAGGGTATTGACACTTTTTCGAGTAATTGCCATCGTTAATCAAAGTGTGTAACTACCAGTGTGGTTGACGGTAAAAGCTGCTACATCATAGTGCATGATTCCCATGTTTGCAAGTCTGAGGTAGAACTTTAGTGAAAGTAAATGCATTCCCATTGCAATTCCCATTTTTCAAGTTTCAGTGATAGGCAAATGCCGACTACAATGCTAGGCGAACAAAGGTTAGCTGTTTCATCTTATATACAGTGCTGGACATAATTATACAGCCACTCTGGAAATCGTCGTAATTTTTGTTCTTGTCAATGAATCTGTCTGAAACTTTGCTGTATTGTGCGCATGTCAACCTACCATAACCCCTCAAAACGGCTTCCAGTCTTGTTGAGTTTGCACGGAGAAAAACGAAAAAAATCGAAAAAGCCCTCTTTGAAAGCTGGACAAAATTATACAGCCACCTGGTTTTTCTAATCACTATCGCATTCGTTGACTCTCAAATTGTTTTGTACGATTACATCCCAAAATATGAAACATTTGCGACACTTACGGCCTGTCTTCCTACTCAAATAGAAGCAATCGCTGCATTTCTTGCTTTTAAAAGCATTAAAAGTCAATCTCCTTCAACAAACAACTGCTTTAAAGAGTTTTCAAGCTCTTGTTCATTCCAAATGATAATCATGGAATCTACTGACCCTTTTGGATAGATGAGGTGAAGAGCGCTTTCGTAAACTCTGCGTAATCGCTGATTTTGACAAACAGACTCCAACCTCACTATAGGGTTGACGCACTTTTGCACCACGAAACTCGATTTTCAAGCGACAGAAAATACTGTAATGTAGCCATTACGACAGCCATGCAACAGTGAACTCGTGTGCATGACTGGGAAGAAATTTCGGGACTGAGCACTGTGATTCAGCCGCAGTTGACATTCACTGAATGTTGAGTGGAGCACCCTGTACAATCAAAGCCAACTCAGATCACGAGATAAAACAGGAGACGCTTAAAACTTCAAAATCTTAGCTAATCTCATTCATCGGGTGAAATATGACATGAAACACAGACGGAAATAAGGAGATCTAGGGTTATATCGAATCTTCCGCTCGCAGGGAATTTTTGTGGAAAGTATTCCAGGTCTAAATGCTACCGCATCATTAGGAAAAATCTGAAAGTTGTTGCGAAAGCTGTTTCCCCATGTAGACAATGTGATAAATCAAGTTCAGCACTTTGTGGACATTGCAAACTGAGTTTTGTGGTTTAAAAGGCTCAACAAGCAACGAGCAAACTCCAACCTCAACATAGGCTTGGAACGTCTATGTTGAGGTTGGAGTCTGTCCGTCAAAATCAGCGATTACGCAGAGTTTACGAAAGCGCTCTTCACCTCATCTATCCAAAAGGGTCAGTAGATTCCATGATTATCATTTGGAATGAACAAGAGCTTGAAAACTCTTTAAAGCAGTTGTTTGTTGAAGGAGATTGACTTTTAATGCTTTTAAAAGCAAGAAATGCAGCGATTGCTTTTATTTGAGTAGGAAGACAGGCCGTAAGTGTCGCAAATGTTTCATATTTTGGGATGTAATCGTACAAAACAATTTGAGAGTCAACGAATGCGATAGTGATTAGAAAAACCAGGTGGCTGTATAATTTTGTCCAGCTTTCAAAGAGGGCTTCTTAGATTTTTTTCGTTTTTCTCCGTGCAAACTCAACAAGACTGGAAGCCGTTTTGAGGAGTTATGGTAGGTTGACATGCGCACAATACAGCAAAGTTTCAGACAGATTCATTGACAAGAACAAAAATTACGACCTGTATAATTATGTCCAGCACTGTATAAAGCTGAATGTCTGTTTGTATGTCTGTCTGTCTGTATGTATGTATGTGTGTACGTATGTTCCGAATAGAAAATTCCATTTCTGAACCGATCCGAACCAAACTTGGCACACATACACTTCGGGCCCCGGCGGGTGTCATAAGCTACTTTTCGTCATCGATCGATATCGATTTTATCGATTTTTATCGATTTTTTTTGCAGAGTTCACCTACGGGGCTGGGAGTTTGCACAGGGGGGTAATCGAGCATGGGGATTCCGAATACAATATTATTTTTCAGGATTATCGATTACTTTTATCGATTTTATCGATTTTTTGCAAAGTTTGAGCTACGGGGCTGGGAGTTTGCACAGTGGGGTAATCAAGCATGCTGATTACGAGTTCGATATTAGTTTGGCGCTATTCGGCTATCCGGGCACCAAAATTTTTTGTGGTAGAGCTTGCTCAAACTTCGTGTATAAGGGTTATCTTAAGGGCCGGGCCTATTTCAAGCGATTTCAATCGCGACGCGATTTGGCAATATTCCAGGTGTCCATAACTCATTGTAAGCACATTATAAATGTACAGAAGATAGGGCATTTCATCAGTTTACGTAAGTTATACACACTATGCATGTGCAGTTTGCTAAGTTGGATCCGAAGACTTCTGGCGAATTGCCAAATCGCATCGGGACTGAAGTCGCGTGAAGTATGCCCGGCCCTTTACATGCTGATTACAGATATCACACTTTCTCCGCAGAACGTCTTCCCGTGTGGTTACGATAGGTGTACGGTAGGAAGTCGAAATCAAGAATTCGGCTGGAGTTCGGTCCATATGGCTTACTCGACATGCTAATTCCGAATACCATCTCTCTCTGCATATTGGGACCTTTTCATAGAGTTGTGGTGGTTGTATGGCATGAATTCGAAAACATAGATTTGCTTTAAACTTCGTCTAGGGTGGTCATTTAGCGCGCTGCATGAATATCATGCCGATTTCTCAGGATAGTGGTTTCTTTGGTTACAGTGGGTGTAGATGGGTCGAAGTTCCAGATTTGCTCAAAACCTTACCTGTAACGGTTCACAAGTATATCGCTTATGAATATGATGCTTGCTCGCTGTCATAACGCAATAGTGAAGTTATGGTGAGTTGCAGAGTTTCAATGGACATTTTTTCGCTTTCGGGCCAATTTAGATCCCAGATATTCAAGAGACGGGGAAACGGTTGTTTTGCATGGCGATCTTCAGCGCCATCCTGATAACCTGTCCCAACGCGTAACGCACGCGGCAAATCTCCCTCCCCTGTTTTTGCTTAGGCAAAAGCCGCCAAAGGGTGTATCGCGCGCAGCAGTGGTCCTATAAGGGAAAACACTACGGTCGTGGGAAACTTTTATACCACACGAATTGCCTTTGTCGTGGGGACTGAGCACGATATTCTTGAAACAGCACTTTAGGTAAATTTCTGCCAAGGTTTCAGGCAGGTTCATGATTTTTACCCGCTGCCATGTATCTACCGTAACTTTGCGAAACGAGAGTTTCTTAGACGTGGTCAGAAGGTCGAATCTCTCAAGACCGAGTTTCAGCCAAAACTGAGATTTCGCTTTTCAGCAGTATACCTACCATAACTCAGTGAAATCGCCTCAAAACGCCGAAGGAAAATGATATTCGTAATTAGCATGTCAATTAGCCCCCCCCCCCTCAAATTTTCAGCGAAATCCATGATTTTAGCTTCTTATGTGTACCCAATTAAACCCAGAAAATGGCGCTATATCGCGCGAAATGACTACGATATTCGTTATCAGCGGCTTTAATAATCCCCATGTACCGACTTTGAGCAAGATCCATCACAAAAACATTTTGGGGCCGGATAGCCGAATAGCGTCATCAGTTTTCAAAATTATCCTTACTTTTACCGGTTTTATTGCTTTTTTTGCTAAGTTTGAGCTACGGGGCTGGGGGTTATTGAGGGAGTAGGTGTTCATGCTAATTACGAACACAGCGGGAATAGGGAATTGCATGTAGAAGTGGGCACAATAAAAGGTTCTTTAGGGATGGGGATAAGACCTTAATCATAGAATTGACAGGGCCGGGCGGAGCCGGGTAAGCCAGCTAGTCTTTCATATAAGGCTGAATGTCTGTTTGTCTGTCTGTATGTTTGTATGTCTGTATGGGTATGCGTATGTTCCCAGTAGAATTTTTTATTCCTGAAACGATCCGGACCAAATTTTGCACATATGCGCCTTGGTGCGGGGCGATCATCGTAGGCTATCTTCCGTCTTGATCGATATCGCTTTGCTTAATTTTCATCAGATTTTGATTTCAAGTTTGACTTGGGCTGCTCAGACAGTCGACGGCATACCTCCGGAGCAGAAATGGCAGAGCCGCGAGGTTTGCTCAGCGGGGGTTTGCCCTCGTGCTCCGGAGCCCTCCCATTTTGTGCTCCGGAGACCTCCCATTTGTGCTCCAAAGACCTCCCATTTTGTGCTTCGGAAGTTTGCCGCGGCATACTGTAACTAACCCCAATTAAGGCTGCGTTTATACCCATCCCGAAGTCCGGGAACAGTTTCAGCACAGTGCTCGAACTAAGCGTTGTGCTGGAACTGTTCCCGGACTTTGGAATCAATATGAACGCAGCCTAAGCTCCAAATCCCAAATATGTCCCTAAACCCCACCCAATTAGCTCTAGACCGGGGTCGAGCAAACGGTGTGGCATACGAGCACCGGATATGACCTCCCTTTCCCGTAAGAATTCAGTACGACCCTCCACCCCGTTCTCTGCCCCCTCCCTCTTACCCCTAGCGTTTGTAGATAGCAAGGTAGAAGAATGAAGACAAGACGAAGCATTTATTCCAAATTAACTGCAAAACAATTTACTACAAATTGCAAATGCACTTCACTTCGATATTCAAAGTGCTCATCCTCAAACTCATCATCGCCCCTCACGTCCTTCAAGTAGTCCTCTGCAGCAAGTTCAAAAGAGTTTTACTCTGAAGATGAAACTAATCTGACAGTTTTTAAGACACTCACTACCTGATAGGTGACCTCTGTAGAAACATTTGAGGCTGGTATACTGTAGCAAACAAATTACCTTTTTCTGGATTGAAAAAAAGAAACTATGCGCGGAAGAAATAAAAGCTCTTATCAACCGTGCGATCTGGGCTCATCAACGTACGACTATTGCCTAGAAGCATGCATGTTCTTGAAGCTCTTTCCATACAAACGTCTACCAAGCGCTGCCTTGTTTGCTTTGGAACTGGGCGTGCAAAAAAGTCCAAAATTTTCCAGGACTTTGCAAGACAAAAAGGTATGATGGTATACTAGGATACTCTGTGATTGCCTGGGTTTGCTTTCAGTCCTAAGCAGCACCGCAACCAGATATGTAATGATAACAATATAAGGTCTATTAGAACACAGTCAAATTCACCGAGAATGTGAAACTGCCAAAAAAATGCTGCGGCAAATGTCCATATTGAAAAACATCAATGACAAAAACTCACCTATTTCTTCATAGAATATCTTTACTGTGTGATCATATTCTCCCATGACAGCCAGAAAAGCACCATCAGGCGAGTATCTTGTGTACTTCGGAGCATGTGGAAGCTGTGTTGACCAAACAACATCCCAGCTGTGATCGCGCTGTGCTCGCTCTTGAAAGATGGGAATGAGATTGCAAAAGATGGAAGAAAAACTGTTGCCAACATTTTCTGCGGTGTGAGACGCAGACGGATTTGTGTCCAATCCACCCATCCTAGACAGACATCGCTGCTGATAGAAAAGTAGCTTACCACCCATCACCAAGTCAATCGCATGCCTGAAGATACCAATTTTGCTGAAGACGCAACAAAATTCTCTTTACCGTTCATGCTCCAAAGAACAGTGTCGACTGGCTTTTCAACCGTAAGACAATGTGTTTCGACCCAGCGGTGTTTGAATAACTATAAGGAGACAGACTACAAAGGATTGTAGTAGATATTATACTGGGAAGAAACTTACATCGACATGTTCAGTTTCGGTAGATGTAACAGCTTTTGGTTTGAAAATGAGGATGATGATGCCGTAAACGGCTGCAGTCTAAAAAAAACAAGATGACGAAGAGAGAAGTAAAACCTAGACCCATTGCACACTTTCCCTGAAACTTGGCAGCAGCTCACGCTGTTCACGAGCTGTGTTGTATCATGAAGACAACCAGAAATTACCTAACCTCTTTTACGTAGTAAATCAAAATGAGAAACTGTAATACCTGCACCTTAGAAAGGTCGTCCCTCAGAACAACAACTTTGAACCGACAGCACATGCCTGGAATGGTCTGGACTGAGAGTGGCAGATAATAACGTACTCATATAATCATATAATGCGTTCTTTATGCTCTGAATCATACAAAATAACTCCCAAAAAACAAACAGCCATTAGCGACAGACAACTCACATCTTCACTTTTTCTTGACTCATTTGCTGCGATAGCAGGATGAAAAGCGCCGATGTTGTATATCAGGCAAGCTAGCCCAAACCCAACACCGTCAAACGTGGCCGAGTGAGCGATATCAATTGCTCGGTCATACGCCCCCACACCGACTTCGATTAGTTTGGTGACGCTATCGCTAATCGTTTGAGCAAGTTGGTGGTCCTGGGCAGGTTGGCTGCAAGAGCCCCGAAGCATAGATTTGCGCTCCGGAGCCCTCCCATTTTGTGTCCCGGAGCCCTCCCATTTTGTGCTCCGCGGCTCGCCCAAATCTGGCGTACCTGCGGAGCAGAGATTTGCAAGCCCGCCGGAGGGGTCCCATTTGCCTTCTTGTGACGTCACCGTGACGTCACAGAAAGGGACCGCCCCCTCGCCCCGCTCTCAATCTCAGACAAATGACCGGAACTTCCGCAGAACGCAAGCGGAAGTTCCGCAGGTGACCTGGCGGAAATCCCGAAATGAGGTCCTGCGAAAGTTCCGAAGAATGTCAAGCACAACAGCAAAAGAGAACACCTAAGTGAGATTTGAACCTTACTCTATTGAGTGTGAGACTCACCTACTATCCTTTGCACTATGGATGACATGCTGGATAATGCACTCTAGTTGTTGGCGAGGCAACTCATACGAGACAACACGTCAAAGTCCTGCGGAAGTTCTGGCAGGCCAAAGTGCTGCGGAACCGCTGGCATTTTTCGGAATTTCCGTAGGATTTTGAAGAAGGTTCTGCGGAAATTCCGGTTTTCAACCAGTTTGGCATGGAAGTCCCGCGGAAGTTCCGATTTTTAACGTTTTCATTTTTGCAATAGTTAACAAAGTCCTGCGGAACTTCTGCAAATTTGGCTTGTCCTGCGGAAGCCCCGGTGATTTGTCTAAGATGGTCAATTGGGTCCTCCGCAACTCTGCCATATTTCGACTGTCCTCCGGAGCTACGGCACCGATTGTCTGAGTGGGAGTTCGAGTTTGGCACAGTGGTGTAAGCGAGCATGCTGATGGCGAATACAATACTAGCCTTCAGAATTATCAATTGCGCTTATTGAATCCACAAATTTTCTGCAGAGTTTGAGCCACGGGGCTGGGAGTTGGCGAGGGAGGAGAGGGGGGAGAGGGGAGGAAGGAAGGTAAGCGAGCATGTTGATTATGAAAACGTAGTGAAGGCAGGGTACCGGCACGGAAACATGGCAAAGTGATAATATCATAGTTTATTGATTGGGTCGGGCGGAGCCGGGTATGCCAGTTAGTTGTAAGTTGTCGTTTTCTCAAGAAAACGTAAAATATGTGCAATTTGCCGGCGGAATCAGGCAAATTTTCTGCTGAATTGGCGTGATCGCAGTGTTAGAAGTTTGCGCTGCATACGCACGCTGTCGCAGAGAGCGAAAAGACTGAGGAGAGAGCAGATCAGCTATCCTTAGATGTTACGCAACACCCTTACGGTGCAGACTATCGCCGTGCCAATTTTGGCCTGGTTGGGTTAGAGCAGAGTGTATGCATAAAACCTTCAAGGAGCTGCGATCTGGGTTTGGGAATATGTCGCCGAAAGGGGAAGTTCCGGCGGACATCTGCAACAAATTCACATTTCAATACATGCACTGGCTGAGTGTCTGCTGCATCGTCCACGCAGAACTCTCCCACTCTCGGTGACATATAGTCCTCCACCCTTGCGATCCTAATCATGAAAGTCGTTTACGCATATCGGCCTAAGCAAACTTTTGCGAATGAAAAAATTCTGACGTATTTCGCCAGAAGTTGTTAAGAACGTGACTTTGGTCAAATTCAGATTCTCTCCAAAATCGTTCATAAATTCAACATGCACATCCTCGCTCTGTCGTCGAAACGATGCCAAGGCTTTAGAAACGCAAATCGCTATACATGCGACCTCATTGTTTGCTCAACGTGTAATAGAAAGAGTAAGTGTTGAAGGGCATTCTCTCTTTTTCTGAAAATAACCTCCCCTTCCTTTCTCCCATGCTTCCTACACCTAGCAGACGCTCTGCGCTGATTCGCACTTCAGCCCTGCAATAAATGAGATAGCGTTTATGTTCAAAAAGTCGAACTTTCCTTTATGACGCTCTCTTCAATAGCATGATAACTCTCGCGTAAACCAAATATAAGTGCTCAGCTAACAAATTGCGAAAATTTTCTTTTTTTTTATTTAGTACACGTAGAGTGTGCTCGAAAAAAAGAACATCAAACGAGTAGAACATAGATCACAGAGGCCACCAAGTCTCACTTAAGGGCTCAAGACTATCTCCAGCATTAATCGACAGCGGTAAAAACCCTCGCCTACAGTGACAGTAACGCATCTGGTAGGATGTAAAAATAAATTAGCTGCAACAAGTGAGTAGCAGTGGGGAATGCTATCATCCTCAATTCAAGGACGAGCCAAGGGCAGATTTTGGCGACGTTAGGTATCCACCAACCTAACGATCATCCCCCAGATACATCTGTGGAATCTCAAAAACACAATTCTCCTTTTGCCACGAATGTAGACTCGAAAATGCGATTATTTGCGACCAACCATTTGTCACCACGTAATAATACAGTTGAGCCCAGCATTAGTGTCTGCTTAGTGACAAATTATAATTTTTCTAGATGAGTGACTTGGTAATCGAATTGATATAATCCTTCTCATTTCATGATCGTGTATCGTGATTTAGAAAATGTTTGTTCAAAGATTTGGAAAAGCCTGAGTGAAATTGTTGAAGGTGTAGAATGAATGTATGCAAGTCGTACTTTAGTCGTATTTTCGATATTGGCTTCACGTTCGCAAAATTTTATAGTAAACCTTGACTCTGCAAAGCTGCATTTTTGGTGTAGACAACAATTTTTGCTAAAGTAGCGGAAACATATGAGTAAGCGAAGCGTCAATGATATGCTTCAACTAATTTAAAGTCGTACGCCTATATTGAAAAGGTGACCTTTTAGTGAACGAGGCATTGCCAAGAGCTTTGGTGACTCTTTTGTGAAGTTGATTTTTCATGCAGCAAATTTCACCATAACAAGCTTAAACTTCTCACAACTTTCTTTACGTGGATCGAATGGCTATGTACGAGTCATACACAGTTGCAATTATTTTCCTTCTTTTGTGGTAATCTGCATCACTCCCACTGAGTCTTTGAAAAAACGAGTTTCTTGTTCCTACGCATATTGAAAACACCACACCAAACACTTTTTATCGAAGTTGCTTTTCCATATGACACCTATACCACTTTAGGAGCATTAACGGGTGACTAATTTCAAATCTGTTTTCTTTGTCTAGATAAGCGCTTTTGGGAGTCGAATCATGGGCGTTTCTGGAGTTGGAAATTGATTGCCCAATTCGAACAAAATCGTCCAGAATTGCTCAAATGATCCAGTTGATTAACAGAGCCTTTCATTTGATAGGTAACTTTTGTCTAATGCTCTCATACTCAACACTACTCTAATTGAGCGGAGAGAATATCGTTTTGTTTTTATGTTCATTTTTCGCTAATAAACACTCATAATTGGCCCCCAGAGGCACTTGGCAGATGATAAAAATAGATCTGGAACAGAGGTGCGATAGGGGGAGCCGGGTCCCCCAAAAGTGAAGGTGGTTTCAGCTACCACTGGCCGGCCAAAAGTGAAGGTGGTAGTGTCGGACACTCACCTCCCAAAAACGTCGACGGGGGGGGGGGAGGTGCGGGGGGAGGATAGAACGGACGAACGGAGCTATCTTTCTAGGTCTAACGTCGACCCAACGGCCCTCTTTAGGGCCACAGATACGATGAATATTAAAAATATCTATAAATTTTATTTATAAAAATTTAAAATAGACGTGTTTAGTAAATGGTGTATTTGGAAGTAGAAGTTTGTTGGACTGTACGGATTTTATTAAGCAAATTTTGTTATAACGTACAGCGAAGAAAGTAGATCGATCCAGGCAGTAACGGCCGAGAATCAGAATTTCGAATAAATAAATAGTGAAAAATCATGCAAAATTTCCACTGTTATAAATCTGTTGTTTGAAGATGTCAGCAGTTGCGACTTCATAGGTTTTAAAGAGTAAATGTTGCTCTATCAGCTAGTGAAGGAATCTGGTCGATTTAAGAGATAGTCGTTGAAAACCAGAGTTCTAAAACTTTACGCCATTTTTGCGTGTTTTTTGACTGTTGAGAGTTAAACTCTTATAAATCTTGAATGTGGAAGTGTATGATGTTGCGACTTCATAGGTTTTATAGAGTAAGGTTTGCCTTATCAGAATATGTCTTGTGCGTTCCGATCCATTGAAACACCTCCGAGATCCAGAGTCATGAAAAAGCAGGTAAAAAAGAGCTTTTTGAACTTCAACAGCTCATAACTTCTTCAGGATTGCACGAATCATGTTGCGACTTCATAGGTTAGATTCCTCTCATCAAGAGCTTTCAGATGATATATAATATGTGGGGGTTTAGAGCCTCCTGCGAATTATGACCGGGGGGGGAGACTTTTTAGGCCAAAGTCTCCCCCTCGCCCATTTTAATGTATTGGCTGGAGGCTGCCGGGGGAGACTTTGGCCTAAAAAGTCTCCCCCCCCCCCCCGGTCATAATTCGCAGGAGGCTCTAAACCCCCACATATTATATATCATCTGAAAGCCCTTGATGAGAGGAATCTAACCTATGAAGTCGCAACATGATTCATGCAGTTCTGAAGAAGTTATGAGCTGTTGAAGTTCAAAAAGCTCTTTTTTACCTGCTTTTTCATGACTCTGGATCTCGGAGGTGTTTCAATGGATCGGAACGCACAAGACATATTCTGATAAGGCAAACCTTACTCTATAAAACCTATGAAATCGCAACATCATACACTTCCACATTCAAGATTTATAAGAGTTTAACTCT